ATATGTTCTTTCAGGTCAGCATCTGATGTTGCCTTTACATAGAGAAAGAGGGGAGAAAAGAAAAACACCCAGGCTCTTTGAATAAAATTTGTATATTTGATCTTAAAGTATCTTGAGAAATAACTATGCAGCTATTTTTATAAGGTGAATTTATTTTAGATTGAGGTCTGTAACACTAAGACTAAGGATAAAGTGTGAAGAAACCACTACTGGCTAAGGTTGACTATAACAAAAAGCAAAACTTCTGAATTTAAGAAATCCAGAGAAGCATACTATCTTTTTAAGAACTTCTTTAATCTGTCAGTTTCGGCCACTTTGATTACATCTATTCCTAATTTCTGAATATCCTACATTTAGTTGTTAGAACAATTCAGAAAATGGCATTTGTTTAAAAGGGAAATATCCTGGGATGCCTGGGTGGCTTAGCGGTTTAGCACCTGCCTTCAGCCCAGGGTGTGACCCTGGAGTCCTGGGATTGAGTCCCGCGTCGGGCTCCCTGCATGGAGCCTGCTTCTCCCTCTGCCTGTGTCTCTGCCTCTCTCTCTCTCTCTCTCTCTGTGTCTCTCATGAATAAATAAAATCTTTTTTTTTTTTAAAAAAGGGAAATATCCTAACAAAACTCTATGATAATAGTGTTCTTAAATTAGGCTAATTTAGCACTAACAGGAGTCAAAGAAACGTATCATGGGAAGAGAAATAAAGGCTGACATTTTATAGTACTTAATATTATGTGAATGGCACTCTCCTAAGGTATAGATACACAGCTAGAGTTAACAATACACATACTTATTTAGTCTTCACAATAAGCCCATGAGGTAAATCTGATGTATTATTTTGTAATACAAAAATGTAATAGTGGCTTTGCCTCTATTCTTTTTTTTTTAAGATTTTATTTATTCATGAGAGAGAGAGAGAGAGAGAGAGAGAGAGAGAGAGAGAGAGAGAGAGAGAGAGGCAGAGACACAGGCAGAGGGAGAAGCAGGCACTCTACAAGGGCCCGATGTTGGACTTGATCCTGGATCCTGGGATCACACCCTGAGCTGAAGGCAGACACTCAACTGCTGAGCTACCCAGGATTCCCGCAAAGCCACTATTTTAAGAACAAAAAATGGTTCTTAGTTCCATTTTTCTTAGGATACAGAAAGCTGTAAGAGAATATAACGCCCACCTTAATAATGAGAAAAAGCTGATCATCTAAAAAGCCATATAATTTTTGGTGCCCATCAGACAGCTGAGATTGGCAACCAGGTAAAATAAAATCCACATAGACAAATCCAAATAGTTGGACAGTTCAAAAATTTTTTTGCACTTGATAGAACAAGTAAATGAGTAACCAAAAATCAGTAAAGCTCTTAAAGACTTAAACAAAACTACCAACAACTTGAACTGATATTCACAAAACCCCCCTCACAGAACAAAGGCATAGTTCAAGTTCTTTTCAAGTGCATGTGGACTCATAAAATATATAAGTCAGAATTCAAGTCTTAACAATTTAAAAGGCTTGAAATCATACAAAGCATATCCTTTGACTGAAATGAATTAAACTAAATATTAGTAATAAAGGCTATTAGAAAAATCAGTATTAATCACCAAGATGTCAATTCTCCCCAGATTGACTTAGCAATTTGGTACAATTCCAATCAATATTCCAGATTTTTTTTTTAGAAGGGGAAAAACTTATAAACCAGTTCTAAGCTTTATATGGAACTATAAAGGACCTAGACTAGCCAAAATAACTTAAAAAGAACCAGGTTGGAATATGATTTCATGATTTTCTATAAGCTGTAGTAATCAAGACACTGATGTTGGTATAAGAATATACATATAGATCAGTGGAACAGAAAGAGAAGGCAGAAATAGACATAGATATTTATGTTGTATTTATTATTGATAAAGGACAGTCTTCAACAAATGGTGGAATAACTGGCTATCTACATGCAAAAATAAATGAAACTCAACTCAAGAAAAATTAACTTAAAAATGCATATAGCTATAAACAAAAGAATTAAAACTCTAATGTTTCTAGAGAAAATCTTTGTGATATTAAGTTTTAGATAAGATACAAAAATCCTAAGTCATTTTGGAAAAAATAGAATTGTACTTCATCAAAATAAAAAACTTGTTCCCTGAAAGATAAACCACAGAGTAGGAGAAAATATTTGAAAATACATATTGGCTAAGGAGTCTTTATCCTCAATACATAAAAAAAAAAAAAAAATCTTACAACCTAATAATAACACAACCAGATATAAAAAAAGTATGTGTAAAAGATTTGAACAGATGCTTCACTAAACAAAGTACAGGATTGGCAAATAATCACACGAAAATTTACTCATTGTTATCATTAGAGAAATCCATATTAAAACCACAATGAGATACCACTACATACCTACTACAATGGCTAAAATTTTTTTAAAAGATTCATTCATTCATTCATTCATTCATTTGATAGAGAGACAGAGATAGATAGATCGTGTGCAGGGGTGGGGGTGTGGAGAAGTAGAGGGCAAGAAAGAGAAACTCAAGCAGACTTCTCACTGAGCGTGGAGCCAACGCAGGGCTCCAAATCTAGACTCATGAGATCACCACCTGAGTGGAAACCAAGAGACACTTTACCGACAGTGCCACTCAGTGAATAATGGCTAAAATTAAAAAAGAGTGACAATCCTAAGTGCTGTTGAGAATGTGGAGCAACTGGAAATCTACACCACTGGCAAAAACATGAATTGGTTCAATCACTTTGGAAAGAGGTCAGCAGTTTTTTAGAAAGTTAAACATAGACTTACCACACAAGCCAGCAATCCTACTCATAGGTATTTACCCAAGAAAAATGAAAATGTACCCATACAAAAATCTGTACACAAAATGTTCACAGCAGTTTTATTAATAATAGCCAAATAGAGGAAACAAACCCAAATATCCACTGAAAGGTCAAAGGATAAACAAATTCTGGTAAATCCATAAAATGGAACACTTCCTGGCAACCAAAAGAAACAATTACTGATACATGCTCTTACATGGATGAATATCAAAATCATTCTACCAAGAGAAAGAAACCAGATGAAAAGGTTCCATCCTACATGGTTCCATTTATATGACATCTGGGAAAAGGAACACTAACAAGGGCAGAAAATAGTTCAGTGATTGCCAGGGTCAAGGCATGAGGTGAGGGACTGACTGCAAAGGACCAGGAGGGGAATTTTAGGAGTGATGTGTTTTAAAACTTCTTTGCAGTGATGATTTTACTACTGTATATGTTGGTCAAAATTCATAAAAGAATACAATTTAAAAGGATACATTTTTTCCCTATCTAAATTCTACTTCAAAAATCTTACTTAAAAATGATTCTCTTAACAATTACGCTATTTTACGGGCATCTTAACACTAGCATAAACTTTCCCAATCAACCTTAACATCTCAACATACACTCTCCTACTATTAGGTCAGCTTCAAATAAGCCCTGCTCCCATACCCTCTGTCAATTCATGTTCACTACCTACCAAAAGCCTTTTGGGCACTGCTCCAGGGCATAATACTTTTTCAGTGTACTCTGAAACCCTATGTCATGTGCAATTTCCTCATGTACATAAATAATTGATTACATGATACCCTATTGATTTTTTGGGGTGTGTGTGTGTGAAAGGTTTATAACTAAGAACAAAACACAAGCTTGGTACCAATTATCACAGTTATTTAGCACAAAATCACCATTTGCTAAATTCAACTGATTTACTGAATAGTCACACAGTCTTGTAGTTATTCAAATGATTATCTCCAAGGGTGCTGAAAGAAACAACCAGGAACCAATGTTTATAAAATCTTATTTTCTACAGATCCCAAATAGAAAGATGTGGATGACTTAGACATTATTATATCAGAAGGCACAGGGCTAGACTAAGTCCTTAAAATTATCTTTCAATGAACTCCCAAGGTGATTATCTATAACATCTAAAGACATAAGAATATTGAGACCAGTCAGAGTTGACCTCTCTTTTTGGAAATAGATGAGGTTTTCCTCTTGGGTACAATGCTTTAGAGTAGATCAAATAAGTAAAGGCAATCACAGTTTAAAAGAAATTTTAAGAATAAGATAAAGAACAGATTATTCCAATAAAAATGTGCTGAATGCATGTGTGTTTATGCCAAGGATACAAAGACAAATCAGATATGTACTTGGTCTTTAAGAAGCTATGATTCATTAGAAGAGACAAATGTGTACAAATAAACATATGAAAGAAATCAAAAGAGACTCACAGAAACTACTATGAAGTTTAGCAGAAGGAAAACTGCATATTGTTTGGGGAGAAATCATAAAGAAGATTCCTGGAGAAGATAGTATTTTTAAACTGGACTGTGAAGGGCAGATTAAATGGAGGAAGGAGATCATCATCACTGGCGTACAGTATAGTACACTGATTTTACAAATCCTAAAATTTGAACACAACAGCCTATGATACAGAGCAGATTTTGTTGTTATTTACAATACTAGCTAGTTCATATATAAACAAATAATTTTAATAGTTTCATCTTCTAGTTAAAGTATTTTTTTTAAGATTTTTTTATTTGTATATTCATGATAGACAGAAAGAGAGGGAGAGAGAGAGAGAGGGAGAGAGAGAGAGAGAGAGGGAGAGGGAGAGAGAGAGAGAGAGAGAGAGAGAGAGAGAGGCAGAGACACAGGCATTGGGAGAAGCAGGCTCCATGCCAGAAGCCCAACACGGGACTCAATCTTGGGACTCCAGGAACACGCCTTCGCCCAAAGGCAGGTGCTAAACTGCTGAGCCACCCAGGGATCCCCTAGTTAAAGTATTAAATAGTAATTGCATATAAACTAATATCACCTATCCATTAAAATACATAGCAATAAATAGACTGTTTCACTGAACAAAAATAATGAAAAAGGCAAATAAATATTTTTAGAATACAAATAAATACATTGTATACTTTTTCCTCTCCTTCAGGTGATGACAGTAATGCTTTTTCCTCTTGTTCCGGTGTAGGTTCAGCATCTCCAGAGATGAGCTTTCCAAACACCTGATGAAGTTGGGAACATGAGAAGGAATCAATGGCAGTAATTATCAGTGTGAAAGCTAAAGGACACATGAGCTAATTCTGCAGGTTTTATAATATGAGTAGGCTATTCTCGCTGTATGCCACTATTTGAAAGAATTATGAATGCAAAATGAAGTTTTGCATTCATAAAATGAATCCTCAAAATTAAGGAGTTTTGGGGTTATAAGAAGAGAAAATGGGTCACATCTGTTGTCTGTCATCTCTAACAAGTTTTGCAAAGTAGTTTGTCACCATCTTAGTATTCTTATTGAGTAAGATTATTTCAGAGTATCCTGTGCTAGATTAGGTAGTAAGGACACTCACTTGAGATGTAATAAGTCTGAACACTCGCAGAGTCTCAGCTTCACAGTTCCTTTGCTGGGCCACACTGGCTGAAATCTGGCCAGCAATTTTTGTGCTTTCACCATCCTTCCAGCCAAGGACTTTTACTTGTCGAACTCTCAGCGTATTTTCTGGGCCTTTCAATTCAATCTTGATGATGTGATTATCTCCTCCTGGAAGTTCACTTGTTACCCAACCAATATGCCTGGAATCCAAATCAACCTAGCACAATAAAAAAGGGATAGAAACCTGATATAGCTCTGTCACTCTTGTCCCACTCTCTTATCACTGTCCTAGACTTAGTGCGAATAACAGCAAGCTCAAATCACAAAGACCTGTGAAGAGACCAAGGTTTACTCTGTTACTGCACACTGATTATCTTACTGAAACCTTGTGAGGATAAGTAATACTATAGTAGCTATTATACAGATGAAATGAGGTTAACACAGGTTGAAGGATTCTCAGTAGAAGGTGGAATTAAGAATTAAAATGCAGGTATGAGTACTTTCCAGGGACAAGTTACTTAACTAACATCATTAAAACAATTTATGTGACTGTCCTTTTCCCTATACTGACCATGAGTAGAAACACTCACAAGATCAGAATGGGGCCCTATCTTGTGCATCTTAACATTAAAGCGCTATTTAAAGATAATCATTTAAAAAAAATAAGCATTTTTGATGTGTGGTTACTAAATGTTTTAAAGAAAAATTAAATATAGCTTCACATTTGTGATTCCTTATTTCACTGTATAAGAATATAACTTTTTTCAAGGCTTAAATTTCAATGCACTTGAAATGGTTTCTGATGCTACTCATTGGATCAAATGAAAATTGTTCTTATGCTATTTGATGTCTAAGAGAAATGATCTGGGACTTCTACATTATTTATATAGACATATATATTGATATTATTTTAGTTGATAATGCCAATTTTCTAGAAAGAGCATTAAGCATAAATAAATACTATCTCACTGAATAGGATGATCTCCCCCAAATTTTTAGCCTTTTAAGCAAAATTTATTATTTATCTAATCCAAAACCTCAATTCATTCTTTCAATATGATTTGAAAAACAAAGCAAGTGGTCAACATTTATGGGACAAAGTAGCTATAGAAGAACAGCTTTGATAAAGTTTCACTAATACAAATCAGTTTATACAGAATCTCAGATACATGCCCAAATAAAACCTAACTTGTTTTTAGACATGGTTTGTAAATCAACTTGCAGCCTGGTTACAGTTTCAATGTTATAAGTGATAGATTTTCAGGCTAGAAGACAACAATCTACATTTTAACCTGAAGTGTAGGTGGTAACAATAAATTCGACCTATGATGCATTTAAGGCACTCTGAATCTTTCTAAGGGAGCTGGAGGTAGAGTGGAAGACTCTAGGTACAGTATAATCACTCATGACAGGACAACATTTAGGGTACTAATGGATAAGATGGTTAGCACAGGGATGGTTGTAAATGTTCCCTTATCTGGACTATTTGTCAGTTTAGTGTTTTATAAACAAATGATTTCCTATAATACTTTGGTAGCATGTCAAAATTAGAATTTAACAGTGGAGGCTGAGAAGAATTTCTCACTAGGTAGCAAAACATTTAATGACAAAATTGTAATTACCTGTTTTATTCTGCATAAATCTTCTACTGCTTTGCCAGTTAAGAAGGTCATTGAGGTAACTTTATTCTAAAACAGACAATTCACAACAATTATTATTCCATATTCCTGCTCCTGAATTTACAACGATTTATGGCCTACCAATGTCACATTAACTCTTCTGCATGTCTGTCATCATTCTTCCTAACTGACCTCACTCCATCTGTTTGAACAACCACATTCTTACAATTCCAGTCTTCCCTAGTCTTGTTCTCACAAAGTCTACCTTCAGTCTCGATGGGCTTTGAAAGAGGAGCTTGGCATTCCCTTTTTTTTAAATCCAAAGTCTAAAGATTTAAATTCTGTCATGAGACCTTTCGACACCTCTGTTTGTCACTCTTGTCCCACTCTCTCTGCAATAGTTTCATAGCTTCTGGAGGTAAAAGCAAGGTAGGTAGGTGGCTTAACCAACAAATACTTGTGAGTTGTCACAATGTATCCAGACTGCCTTACAGATTTTGAGAATGATGGGTTCTATCCTTTTGAGATCCTTGCCACACTAGGGAAGGAACATTAAGACATGAAAGAAATAATCCAACAGAAGTTCATTATCTTTAAGTACTGAAAACAATCATGCTGGTCCTGGAGTAACTTTTACTCAAGGCACATCAAGAAATAGATAAGCACATTAACTCCTTGGAGAACTGCATACTTAGTTATACATCAGCTCTAGGCTGATGAAATTCAAACGACTGCTGTGTATAAGGCACTGGTGGCAGGTGGGCTGGGGACATAGACGTAAATAAGCCTCAAAGACACATGGCACTTAGAGGTTTCTTTTCTTTTCTTTTCTTTCTTTTTTTTTAAAGATTTTAGTTATTTATTCATGAGACACACACACACACACACAGAGAGAGAGAGAGAGAGAGAGAGAGAGAGAGAGAGGCAGAGACACAGGCAGAGGGAGAAGATGTGGGACTTGATCCCGGGTCTCTAGGATCACGCCCTGGGCTGAAAGCAGGAGCCAAACCGCTGAGCCACCCAGGCTGCCCAACTTAGAGGTTTCTTAAAAGGAAAGCAGATGTCAGATAATCTACTGGGGCTTTGAAAAAAAGAATATTGTGACAATTACTACCTAAAAGGGAAAAATGTCAAATTGATTTCAATCATTCTTCTAAGGCAGAGTATGTCCTGGCTTAAAATATACCAAGAATCAAAGGTAATATTGTATTGAACAGTAAATCCTAGCTAGAAAAATGTTTTGATTTCTTACACTTGACTTTCTAGTAAGGTAAGTAGTTGTACCAACTGAAACTCTTGGCTCTGAAGAGGAAAAAGCTTATGGCATATTAACTAAGCCCCCTTTTCTCATTCACTGCCAGATAACAGGAGTTGGGGGTGGCTGTGGATGGCAAGGAGTGTTGTGATAACAGACTGGACTTCTGAGGTTGGCATTCCATCTGGGTTACCCAAGACCCAGCCTTACCACTCTGGCTTTTTCTGGAAAAGGAAATATGCAAATGGGATGGGAGAAGCCTGGCAATGGTCAAAGGAGATTTATTAATACTGTATCTGCTAGCAAGCCACACCCATTCTGAGGGAAAACTCTAAGGAGTACCCTTCCCTAGCAATGGGGGTAGAAGCATGTGAGTTTGGTGCCTTCTTCCTGGTTCAAGTAAACAAGATTCTATTTCCTTTGTTTACAGTCTTTTGTGAAGGAGTGCTTAATTCAGTTGAAAGATGTGAACAGGCTAGTGCTAGGAAAAATATAAATTATGATTATTCAGGTTAGTCTAGAAACCCCACCACCACTCTCATGACAGCTAAGGGTGAGGATTGGAAGCAGAGCTAATTACATGATAGGTCAAAGTGTATTAAGTGCAATCAGAGTAATAAAAAAGAACCTAGAGAAAGGAAAGAGCAATTTTTAAAAAGATTTTTATTTATTTGAGAGAGAGAGAGAGAGAGATAAGTGACAGAGAGTATGAGCAGGGGGGAGAGTCTGAAGTCAGGCTCCCTGCTCAGCAAGGCCTTAGGGCTCAATCCCGGGACCCTGGGATCATGACTTGAGCCAAAGGCAGACATTTAACTGATGAAGCCACCCAGGCACCTGGGAAAGAGTAATTTTATAGAAGAGGTACTGGGAGAGGAGTTTTTTTCTTGGTCTTTGAGATTTTGGGAGATTCTGATAGGTAGAGTTTAAGGGGAGGGCTTTCAGGTCAAGAGAAGAGCTTTGACAAGGGCATGCAGGCAGGCAGTTATAGGACAGACATTTATTCTGCTTAGTTGGAGCCATGGTGTATGTATAATCACACCTCTTTTTAGAATTGGTCTTCCATAGTGCCCCTTGTCCTCTTAACCTGTTTTTACATTTAAGATTTATTTGGGAAATATAAAAATGTTGTTTGGTTGGTGAAGTTCCACATGGAAATCTTTTTGCTAAACTCAGAAATAAGAGGGCAGGCATGGTCTCTGAGGGTCTGAAAAGAACTGATGAGCCACAGATTAAGTCTCCTTTCTTACCCCAAGATCTCGGGAATTGTCCACATGGACAGATACATAGCGGGCATTGATTCCTTTTACACAGTTGATGGTGATGTTTTTAGTTTTGTTTTTATCTTCATCTCCTGATTCCCAAAAGGTTTCAGTAGAACCGTCTGTTAAACTGCCAATCATGGCAGGTCGGCTTGAAGTTTTTATGTCAACAATGCTGGTTAAGTCCTTTAAGCACATTACTATGCACAGTTCCTACCAGAAACAAATGTACATTATTACAACACTGAAGTGGATATCTTTCATGATAATAAAACAAACAAAACATGAGGTAAGAAACAAATGAGTCAAATTGTTTAGGAGTAACTTGCAGTTTCTCCTTCTAAACACTGTTTAATGTTAGCAGGGTAACAGAGGAAAGTGGTAAATGACTGACCTGACTCATTGCTTCAAAGCCAGACTGTATACTGATGCTAAAACTTTCTTCACTATCTCCATCATCTGATTTTGACAAAATATTGTTAATGTGATGAAAGACATTACTCTGATGGAGGAACTGGTGATCAGACTGCTTGAATTTCAGACTCCAGCATCTAAAAATGTATAAGCAATGTATTAAATAATTCCTACTGAATTCCTTGGAAAAGCACTCTGTAGTTAGTATTTCAAAAAATCTTAATGTTCTAGGTAAGAAATAGAAATGAAAAAAATCAGGGAATAATATCACTGCCTTTTTGTGAGAAATAAAGGTAATTTCTTTGGAACAAGATAGGATCTAAAGAAAGTTCACTCATTTTACATATAGAAAAATACATTTATGTATAAAGAAATTTGCTTCTGTAATCATGAAGATCAAGGCTACAGAAGCAAAA